GTGCCGTGGGAGTTTGGAACGGTAACACTGTCGTCTGTTTGAAGACTGTGCCTGACTGTGCCTGACTGTAGTGCCTACTGCCCTGCAGGACTCTCTAGTCTCTACTAATAGTAGACTCTCTCTCTCGCTACTAGAGTAGAGTCTAGTCGCGGTCTCTCGGACTCTCGTGTTATTTGTGTTGTGTGACGTCTTGAATATTGTGACTTGTGACTGGTCGTGATTCTTGAATCAGAAAAAGTCTCAGAGAGTGTGTACCAATAAAAAAGCAGTTTTAAAATAGGTACTCAATAAAACATTGCCGAAGATATACTCCTGTTTCCGCAAATCGTAATAAATACGAGTAACTTTTAACCGGCAATCGTATTTTTTTTACCCAATCCTGTCCGCCGCAGAACTAAATATATATAATATATTCTATTCATAATTCCAAAAAAACAAATATGACATCATACATATAATGTCTTCCCATTGGATTATTGTATTTGCAGCTAAATTAAGTTTTAAATGCGCTCCACTAGTCCACTACCGTCTACCACAGCCCGCAAGGCCGCAAAAACATAGACACAGCGTGAACGAGCCCCAGGTCCCCACTCCCCCCAGGCCCCAAACCCCAAGAAACTCTTCCCTCTTGTTGTTGTAAATATTGTAGTTTTTAGTTTTTCCGCGCCTTCGCCTCTCTAATACTAAATACAGTGCATACATATTCGACTGAGAAAAAAATATAGCACGAGATATATATGTATATATGTATAATTGTATACATATATATGTGTGTGTGGGTGTGTGTGTGTATGTGTGTGTGTTCGCCGCCTTTAAAAACATCTGCATCTACATATTCTTCACTAACACCACACCGCCACCAATATGGTTCAAAGCCGAGATTTCTTTGAGAGCCCCATTGCTATGCTCACGGCTGTGGCTATAATAGTTATTGGATTTATATGTGTAATTGCCGCGTCGGCACCACAAAGGAATGAGCGTGTCGAGAGCGAATGGTATTATGATAGAGAACAAAAAAAGAGGTTTAAATCCTTACAGGTGGGTCTAGTTTGTTGTTCACTATTGAGCACAGTCCAGATTGGTCTATAGGAAATTATCAGGCCTGTATATTCGCAAAACATATTAGTAAATACTATATATATACATGTGTGTGTGTGTGTGTGTGTGTGTGTGTATG